TTTAGCGTTTGTGTGAATGACACTGTGCACCTTCTATATATGTTATTATTTAAAAGCTGCTTGTGATAGGCTTTGGTTCATCGTGTGACTTTCTCATCACCACCTGCATTTGGTGGTTACTAGTGTATTACAAAGCTAAACAGATTTCAGTACTTCAATAGGTTGGTATATTAACATTATATCAGTTAATATACATACGGTATTTAACTGTAAATTTAAGTTAAAACCGTAAACCCTAAAACGTTGCTACCGTATTTTTTACGGTAAAATTCCGGCAACCACAGCTGCCGGTTTTTTACCGTAAATTTTACGGAATTTTTTTACAGTGTGTGTGTGTGTGTGTGAGAGAGAGAGTGGTAGTAGAAGAGGTCAGTCTGAGGCAGATGGTGGTTCATTTGTGATGTGATTAAGAGCCGCTTCCCTTCTGGAGAAAACACACAGGCTCTTCCTGTGTCTGAATATACCAACTTCCGTTCTATATTGTAGGCAAAAAACAGCATGTGAAAAAAGTAGTATGTCTGAATTCATCGTTTTTATTAGTGATGCACCAAAATTTTGCCAACTGAAAATATTGGGCTGGTAATGAATATTCGGTTTCGACAGTGGTAAGATCAGTGGAGGAAAATGCACTCAAGATGGTCATCAAAAGAGCGATGTTTATTTCATAATTAACCAAATAACAAGTATTAACTAAAAATAGTTTAGTGTTTAGTTGCTGCCTACAGCGAATGATGTTTTGAATCTGTTCCCTCATGAGGTTCCACTGTTAAGACCATGATGTGCTTGCTGCAAAGTTCTTTATTGTTCTACATTACAGAAGTGTGAAATAGCTGTGCAATTATATACATTTAGCATTTAGATAATGTGTTATTTATGTCTGAGTGAACAAATGAACCTGTTAAGAATTATGTCAAAGAAGGCGGAGCCACAGAGCCACACCCACCTATTACATAATCATCATTGACCAATAGGGCTTGACAAGATGCGCGTTAAATATCGCATGCGATTTGTCGTGCAGCCCTATTGACCAATGGCATTTCAAAGGTGTTTAACAGCTGGCAGGAATTTTTTCCTGGATAGTTTGTGCTGGGGAGATGTTTCAGACCACCAAAACAAACCCCAAAACACCTGTTTTGGCCAGATTTAGTTCGAAATGTCACACATTTCGCTGTCTTCGATGGCAGCTGCCTATATAGACAGTAGACAGCAATGCAGTTCTCCAGGTTTTGAAGCAGAGCCATGTACTCTCAGGCACCTACACACACATGTATGTGATCGGCATGTCTCATATAGTGCTCTGAAGCTTCCTTCTCTCTCAGCCTCATTTTATTCCCCCTTGTTTTCTTTCTCATCTCCCCTGACATTTGCAGAAATACCACTAGTGATTCGATCGCTGCTTTGATGAAGAAAGAAAACTGGGGTGTGTGTGGGTGTGTGTGTTTCCTGAGAGGAAAACATAGATGGGAAGGTCTATCCACATGGTAGCATTAACTCATGCAATGTTGAACTCTCATTCCTTGCCCCAGCAGTTCAGCTGTAGCTCAACACAGACCAAAGACCTGTGCAGTCATCAGGGAGGCTCATGTGCTGCACCCTTCCTCGAGGACGTTTGTGGGCTGATGCATATTGCTCACAAAATGGCAAGAGCTTGCTGAAATCAGCCATTGAAATCATTTCTAGGGGTGTAAATGTTTCTGATGGTGATTTGGAGGAGGCACTGAGTCACCTTAAATGGATAGTTTAACCAAAAAATAAAAATAAAAAATCCTTTCATGCCCTCACCCTCATGTTGGTACAAACCTGTATGACTTTCTTTCTTACCATTGGACTCCACTTTTATTGAATGGACAAAAACCACTCTCCAGACAGTCTCCAAAGTATCTTCTTTTATGTTCCACAGAAGAAAGAAAGTCAGGTTTGGAACGATTAATTGTGAGTAAATGATGAGAATTTCAATTTTTGGATGAACTGAACCTTTATCTCAAAAGTGCCTTGAGGAAGTCTCAGGGTTGGGTGGGAAGTACAAAAATGTAAAAATTTTCAAGCAGTTCTCAACAGAAGCACAATATTCTGCATGACGTAAATAGCACAGAAAATGTTTTTGCATCACACTGTGCTCCTTTTTTCCATTGTTTTTCTATGTGAACATGCCTTTTGCTCTTGCATCTTTTGCAGCGTCTCATGCATGACTCGTGCAGGCCTCTAAATTATAAACATGTTCAAAACTTTGCTGACAAACCTGTTGTTCACAATCTACTACACACATCTGACTGATAGATTAGACTTTTTTTGCAAGTAAAAGGCCTTTTAGTTTAACCGTACAAACATCCAACCTACAGGTATGTGTCTTTTTTCTGTGAAGTCTTTACAGATTTTTATAAATTGTTAGTAATATTTCAAGATGAATATTTACAGGACTGAAGAATCTCAGGTTTACTTGATTTTCCATGCATCCAGTCATTTTTTTAGGACAATCATGTTAAAATGAAAGAAATGAAAATTCTGTCATTAATTACTCACCCTCAAGTTGTAACAATCCCTGAAGACTTTCGGTCATCCTCGGAACACAATTGAAGATATTTTAAATGAAATCTGAGAGGTTTCTGTTCCTCCATTGACAACCTAAGCAACTTTCACTTCGAAGGCCCAGAAAGGTAGTAAAAACATCATGGAGGTAGTCCATGTTACTCCAGTATCAAATATGATCCATCAAGCTTTTGAGGAGCACTTATTTCTTCATCTCTCAATCATCACTGTTTTGCATTTTTTGATTTGCCCCCGCAATAAAAACTACAGAGCATTGAGCATAAAACTAAGCATTTAAATATGAGATATATTCTGCATTTTATTCCCTCGCAATTCAGAGTGTATATCTGGCAATTCAGGCTTTTTTTATTCTGAGAAAAAAGTAAGAATTGTGAGATATAAAAAAAGTCACAATTATCTTTATTTTATTCAGTGGTGAAACAAGCTTCCATAATATTCTCACTATATCATAAAAAGGTATCAAATATGACACTCAACAAAAAACATATGCAATCATGTGCTTTTAAATATTTATTACAAAATATTTTTCTAAAGGCTCAATAAACAGCAGGGTTAAAAAAAGTTTTTCTGGATCTCACGTTTTTAAACCCAAAAACTCGTTCTCTGTGAATGGCATCTAAGACGGCTCTGTAAGCAGCGCTTTGTCATGAGAGCTCTAGAAATGCTTCTCGAGGCGTGTGGGACACCGAGTGTCTGAGAGATAAAGCAGTGACGCGGCATGGAATTCAAGGCACTAAGGCAGCCATTACTCAGCGACTCTGTGGTCTCTGGCTAATGCTAATGAAGTCATCAGCCAGCTAATGAGCCAGAAGTCCTTTGGAGACACCGCCAACATCTCCACAGGCACTCGCTACGCCTCTTCCAAGATGCTGTCGCCCATTTGATTCACTCCCCTTTGATTTGTCTCTCACTTCACAATGCCCTTCATTCCTCCTTGGAATTCCTCTGCTTCTGTTCATTATTCCTCTCCTGTCCGCTCAGAGCTGGCAAAGATTGATTCGCTCTGATGGTTCAACTCTTCTGGGTATCGTTCACTATGAACCGATCGGCAGCTGTCAGTCACATTGTTCCTAGAGAGGTACTTTGTAGCTTGGTAAACGGTGTGCCGTGTTGCTTAGGGTTGTACAGAAGTTTGATTGTCTGGAGTAGAATAAAGTTGACTGGCAGTTATGAGCTGTCAGTGATGGGATGATGATTGACATATGCTCTGTGATTTGATTGGCAGGTATGATGTTAGGAGGAGGATGTGGCAAAGAGCTGGCTCATTGGATCATTCACGGGCGTCCCGAAAAAGACATGTATGGATATGATATCAGGTACGTTTTGTGCGAGCAAGTGTTTCTGTGAGTACTACTTTATGTACTTTGTTTGAGGCGGGACTGTCTTTTTTTCCGACCAATGGAAGATGGGGAATTTAAGCATTTTGAGTCGGACGTGACATAAGTAATTATTTGTAAGTCAAGAACCATTCTGAACAAATTCAATCAGTTAGTCAGTTGTTAGATGCTTTAAAACAATAACTTCTTCATTTGTAAATCTTTCTCACTAATTCACTAAAATATCATAAAAGTCATTAGTTCATGATTCAGTCTAGGGCTGCACAATTAATCAAAATAAAGCCAAAATCAAGATATGACTTGGTGCGATTATTAAATCATAAGGGCTGCAAATTAACTAATTAAATATATGCGCTGCATTGTGTTCATTTACACATGAGCAGATGTTTTTAGCATCTTCACAGTAAATGTTGCTCCACACAAACTCATCTCTGCATCTTCTCCAAAGTTTGAGTCACATATAACGTGCATTTGGGAACGCAACATGCAGGAAACATCTTCTTAAACTTGTAATGAAAAGTGCTAACTGGCTGTCGTCAACTAAAGAGAATCTTTGGAGAAGCCATCCATTCGGTTTTCTGCCAAAATAACAGCTGGATGGTTTAACAATTAAAAATGAAGATGACCATAAATATTAGTATTGTCATTTTACAGTTCTAATTTAAAATGATTATTATATTTTTTTCTAAAATACTAAAATTTTACAGTGAAATTTAAAATAGTAAATTAATAATAATTTAAATATTATTTATTTAACAATTAATAAGATTAATAATTAAATACAAATTATTATTATATATTATTATACTTGTTATTATTAAATATTAATTACATTATTATTAAAATGGTCAAAATTGTGCAGCCTCACAAGTAAGCTCAGCTCAAACCTAGAGCGTTTTGTATTTATTTATTTTTTTAAATCATGTTAAATCGCAATTTTTATGAGAAAATTTTATTAAAAAAAACAATTTGTGCAACCCTAAATCAGACTATACTGACGTTTTTTTTTTTAAATGGCGCTTTGTCCAAACTGCTGGAAGAATTCAGACATTTAAGAACCGTTAACCACACCAAACATCATCAAGATCAATCTTTCTGCTAAATAAGAATCAGTTCTTGATTGCCAGCCCTACTAGTGTCTGAAGGAGTATTTCAAACACCACACATGGGTTTTGTTAGTATGTTCAGTTCAGTGACCGCATCTGTGAAAGGAACATCATGACTGAGCTCAGGACATCAGATGTGTGAGGTATTATGAAGGTCAGCTGAGGGCAGGACGCTCTGAACTCACTGTCCAGCCTGCACTAGCATTCGCTTCTGTGCCTTGAAAATGATGTGACGTATCTGTATGTGTGTCTCAGTTCCTTACTTCATCTCCCTTTTTCTGTGTCTCAGGCGTTTCCATCATTCCCTGACCAACAACAACCGCTGGATCAGAGAGCGGAGTCATGAATCGTATGCCAAAAACTATTCAGTAGTTTTCCCGTTTGATGAACCTTTGGCCAGCCGCAACATGAGGAAAGACCCCTTCCACCAGGTTCAGCCCGTCTCTTATGTCTCTTTATCCCCTTTTGAACCACTGGCTCAAGACGTCTTTGTTTTACTGTCCATTATAATCAAATATAATTTCCTATAGGTGCATGCACATTAGATGGGCTGATCTGGGGAAAAAAAGCTCATATTATTTTATCTAAAGGAGGAAAATGAATCTACTTGAATCTACTTTTTAATAATATACTGTATATGTCAAATAAGCATTATATATATATAAATACTTAACATTAGTTAACTACTTTAGTTAACAAGAACTAAGCATGAACAATACTTCTACAGCACTTATTAGTCTTAATTCATGTTAATCTCAACATTTATTAATGTATTATTAAAATCAAAAGTTGTGCTTGTTAACATTAGTTAATGCACTGTGAATTAACATGAACGACTGTATTTTCATTAACTAACATTTACAAAGATGAATAAATACTGTAATGTATTGTCCATTGTTTGTTCATGTTAGTTAATACATTAACTAACATTAACTAATGGAACCTTATTGTAAAGTGTTACCAAAACTTTCTATTCATCAAAGAATCATGAAAAAATGTATCTCAGTTTTTTCACAAAAATATGGTGTTTTCTATATTTCTTTAAAAATATATAAAAAAAATAAAATAGCCCCAAATTTCTAAACGATAGTACATAATAGTGGTAATTGTTAAACTGAATTTAAGGTCATGAAAATATTGGCTCGGTTCAAAAAATGACTTAAATGGTCCTTATTGATTTTGTGGTGAAATATGACTAGAACATATCAGGTATAAGCAGTGTTGGGAAGGTTACTTTGGAAATGTAATAGCTTACAGATTACAAGTTACCCTATTTAAAATGTAATAGTAGTGTACATTTTTCAATTACTTTATTAAAGTAATGTAACTGATTACATTTGATTACTTTTTGATTACTTTTCAAAATTTCTAATGAAT